CCACCAGCGAATACGACAGCGGTGCGTTCTCCTGTGCGTCCGCAGCCTGTGGGTGGTTCTCCTTCACCAATACCGCGTACTCAAGTTGCGCAAAAGTCAGCGCACTGTCGTTCACGTCCGCCACCTTCACGAACACTCTGGTGGTAACCCACAGCGAAGGCGAGCTCTCATCCCTTGTAGTAACCACGACTTTATAGGCAGATATGGTCCAAGGCACTGTCCAGAACCAGGGAATAGTAATTTTCGAATGTAGACACCAGCTTGAAGGGTATGTAGGATGACAAGGAACAGGTGACCTGTCTGTTGGCCCCAGAGTCATGGTCAGACCCGTTAAGCCCCCTTGGGCATCCTCTCTCACAGGGAGTGATAGTGAAGTAACCATTTTCAGGTACAGAACCTCCACCAGGACCAAGCTGTGGCCTACCATGGAAGGAATCCCTTTTCAATGGCGTTAACCTGAATTTCATAAGCATTATTCTCTTCAAAATCTAATTCCCTGTGGATTTTAATTTCACCTGTACCTGGATTAATTGAAAACTTGCAGTTCTCACTCACGGGCAAAATCATTCTGATTTCACAGGAAATTTCCCCATTCAGGCCTTCGTCCAGATCCGAAGCATTTAGTTGAATTATTCTAGTGTTGTTTCTGACATTTTCAAACAATACTGCTTTATAACCAGGCTTATCAAACTCTGGAGCGTTGGCATCACATTCAGGATGGTTATTCCAATCTGAACAATCCTGTTAGCTCCGGTTTACCACCATCAATGACCATCAGCAATAAATTAAGTTCGGGGGTTTCCTCTCTGTACAATAACTTCGGAAGAATTAACTCAGGCAATGTGCTTTTATCTTTATTGTTGCTGTTGTTGTTTGAAGTGCAAAATGCTCGTTTAAACTTAGTGTATAAGTTAGAAGAGAGTTTATGCCAAAATCTGCATCAGAAGCGCCTTCTAGAAGAAACTGTGTCCAGAGGTGCAGATTCAGACCTTATGTTGTTTTTCTTTGAGCACTGGTGGGTTGTCATTAACGTCCTTCACCTCCACCTCCACATGGAAAACCTGCAGCGGTCTGTCTAGGATCACCTCCAGGTAGATGCTACACTCCTCACTCCATCTGCACAGTTCCTCCCAGTGGATCCGAGAATTCACAAACAAAATGCCATTCTGCAGATTTACCTTTAGAAGGTCCCTGTGATCCTTGGACCCCACCCGGAACAGGTGTGGCACCAATTCTGTTATTTTCAGCCCCAGGTCCTGCGTGATGTGGCCCACAAAGGTGCGGTGCTTGGCCTCCTCCGCCACTGAGTAGTGAAGCTGACCGGTTCCCCCTTCCCTGGCTGCCAGGAGTAAAAGCAAGAGCAGCAATTGCAGGAATCAGTCCTCCACTCTATAAACACCATTGCAGACAGTGAAGGCCGTTTTAAAGGAGTGCATACATGAGATTTTTATGACCCTTTATGTACCTATTTAATAATTCTTGACCTGCGTTCCAGTCAATATGGAGTTGACCCTATATGTGAATGGTTGGTAACTATGTGCTCAGACAGAATTTTCCTTCTTCACCTTTTGAGTGTATAGCGACATATGTGACTGATTATGTAAATACAACAAAAAGAAGAGAGGTTCTTTTGGGGTTAGTCATTTCTTGGTCTCTCTAAATTCTATTTTGGATCATTTCATGGATCATTTGTGAATGATTCTATTTAGTTAACCTATATGTTAGTAGCAACAAAACAAAAATGCCTATGTTGTAGTTTGAAAACATTTTCTGCTTCAAAGTTTATCATTAAAATAACCTTTGATATATATATACTCAATGGAATATTACTCAGCATTAAAAGAGAATAAACTCATGGCATTTGCAGGTAAATGGATAGAGTTGAAGAATATAATGCTAAGTGAAGTTAGCCAATCCCCAAAAAACCAAGTGCCAAATGTTTTCTCTGATATAAGGATGCTAATTGTAATGGGGATGGGGGGGCAGCGTGGGAGGAATAGAAGAACTTTAGATAAGGCAAAGGGGAGAGAGGGGAAGAGAGGAGGCATGGGGGTAGAAAAGATGGTTTAATGAGACAGACATCATTACCCTAAATACATGTATGAAAACAAGAATGGAGTGACTCTACTTTGTGTACAACCAGAGACAAGAAAATGTGTGCTCTATTTGTGTGATATGAATTGAATTGCATTCTGCTGTCATCTATAACAAATTAGAATAAATAAAATTTTAAAAAACCTTTGAAAATAAGGCATAAAAGAAGTTACCCTTTAACTATTATGGGAAATAATCACTCCTAACCTTACACTGCTTACAATTCACACTGTTTTCATGATAAAGTGCTTTCCAAACACTTTTTGTAAGATGTTAGGAAAATGTTAAGAATGCCATTATCTAGTAGAGAAAATCAAACATAAATATTTCTATGAGCTAAACATTTCACATATATAAATTGTACAACTCTATTGAATATTGTAATTCATCATAAATATGAACGATGTTATCGTTTGGGGTTCATTGATGTTTATATGTGATGGCTTTTCATACACCTGCTCTTATTCCCATAGCATGTTAAAGCAACGCAAAGCACAAGTTCTAGAAAGCTTTATTTTGGAAGAAATAAAGCATTGCCATGAAAATGTATGAGTCAAGCTGCCAAATTTCACAATATCCTAAGCTAACAATGGCAGACCAATATGCAAATGATCTCATGAAGTGTTTTAAGGCACTTAATCTCACCAACCAAAGGCAAAAGAATGTGAACATGAAACAAACATGTTGGTTTCTCGATAAATCTCTCCCTACAGATCAGTTAGTAATTACTCAAAATATAAGTCTCTTCAGAAAATCAAAATGGTGACTATGGTTCAAGGTGAACCAAAAGAGTTTTCATAATTTTTAATAAGTCAAGATAATCATGAAAACAAAATAGATACGAAAAATAAACATAGATTTTATAGCTTCATTAATATTCAAACTCAAATCTTCAAGCCCATAATTTGTTGCCATTCCTCTTACATACAACAATAAAGGTAAGTGAGATGTGAGGCCTTTGTATAACCAGAAAAAATAACAATTGAGTATAAAATAACTATAAAACTGGCTCTTACTTAAGAAAACCACTTTAATTTTGATATAATCAAACTAATTATTTAAATTGTTGAACATCACCACCAAGTTTCATTTCCTATTTTCCGTTTTCAAAGATGTTAATGTACCTGGATTGCTAAGGTACTGTCAGGAAAAAAAAATACTGTCATGTAGTTCTCATACAATGTTGTACATAATTAAATTATTAAGCAGGTAATAAAATCTGTTATCTTAGTACTTACCTGAACTAAAAAATAAGGTGAAATTATAATTTTACCCAAGAATGTAACTCTGACAGTAAGAATAAATATGAATGACTCTGAATCTATAAAAATTATTTCTGGTAATTTGAAATTATCTAAATGTGCACCAGCTATTTGTGTGATGCAAAAGTAATGGTTTACAAAAATTTAAAGTGTAATCTAAAATTCTCCAATGTCTTTCTAAAAGTAAATTTAGATGAACTTGACTTAATCAAATGACTTCATTTGGAAATGGCAATAATGTACGCCTTAATGTTCATATTTATTATATTTATACAATTTTAAATATCTTTTACCTACTTTTAATACTTAAAGAATGTTATTAGCCAATTAATATTGAAATACAAAAGTTTCAAAGAAGAAGAAGAAGAAGAAATAAACAAACAAATATAGGAGTTCCTGATCCAAGTTCCAAGAATGGACTCCTTTAGAATATTATGCCAAATGACATGATGAGTAACCTTAAAACAGCTATGTCTGATTCTCAAAGAATTCTACAAACATATTCATAACAAAAAAACCACAAAGAATTAGAAGAAATTCCTAGTGATAAATGATCTTTGCTAGACTCTTACATGATTATACTACACAGAAAGAATTTTTCATGAACATTAAGAGATAAGACATTTAAAGACAGAGCAGTTAAAATGTGAAATAGTAAGGCACAGTAGTAAATTCTTATAATCTCAGTTATCCATGAGACAGAGGCAGGAGAATTCCAAGTCTGAGTATAGCTCTGGCAACTTAGAAAGACCCTATCTATATATAAATAAATAAGTAGGCCTAGGGAAATAGCTTAGTGATAGATAGAGCAACCCTGGGTTCAATCCCCAGTACCACAAAAGGAATAAAAGTGAAATGCATACAATGATAATTATCAGTTTTGTTCACTTTAATGGAGTTAAATTCTAGATAAATTCAAAAAATGTAGGAAACAATGCCCATAAGCACATATTGCAGATATCATAAACATATATGCCCTTAGCAAGTTTGTATGATTTGCTTGAATAATTTTAATAACTTTACTTGCCTAGTTTACTTTAGAAACATGAATCAGGGAGTTTTGCTTGAATATGCGCTAGATAAATCTATTGCCAGCTCACAGAAAAAAATTAAGAATGGCCAATCTTATTATCTCCATTGTAGGATGTTATTTTCAGCATATTACAATGCAAGGCTGGATTTTTTTCCTTCAAATAATATAAAAATAGGTTTTGCCACAGAAGTAGATGCAAAATTAAATTTTATTTGAAGGATAATACATTTAAGATGGATATTAAGCTCTATAGAAAAGGAAATAATTTCAGACCTAATGAAGAGGGTTCAATCACTGACACAGAATTTTTCTAACCAATTAATTCAATAATGTGAAAATATCAAGGCAAAATGCTGTTAAAAGAAAAAGGTTGGTAAATTTAAAGAATCCACAAAAATTGTGATTATTTGTACTCAAGTAACAACAGTAGGGCCATTCTTCAAAAACTTCCTTCAATGTATTCTAATCAAACATTAGAAGAAAGAGCACATTCATTAAAAATAAGAAACATGATTTTTCATTATTAAAAGAATGGATATATGTATCATCTGACATATATAACTAACAGATATTGTTCTTTAAAACAATATTCAAAATACAGAGTTCTCATTTTAAAAATTTCTGTGAACAAACGATCCAAATAATTTAACATAAACATTCTGAATAGGTGGAATTTTTAGAAAACTCACGTGTACTGGGTTATTTAATCCTGCCTCCTGCCTTCCTTTTTCATCTTCTCTGTCTAGTCCTGGTGGAAGACTGGGGCTGAAGGCCATTAGGTCGGTCTTGGGCGGATCCTCGCCAGAACACACCCTCTGCCTCCTCTGTTGCGAGTATGACCAGCTCCCCACCGTGCTGGAGCACACCAGCGTGGGCTTCCCAGGTCCACACGCACTCTCAGTGGGCCCAGCAGAGCACCGCAGCGCTGTGTACAGCAGCAGCGTGAGCACCAACAGGCTGGACACCGAGCAGATGGCTATGATCAGATACACGTTGACATCCACCAGCGCCTCTGCCTGGCCCGCAGAGCTGGCAAACATCGGTGAGGCGGCCTTTGGCGCCTGACCGCTCTCCACCAGAGATACCAGCACTGTGGCGGTGGCCATCAAAACCGATTCACCGTGGTCCTTCACCAGAACCAACAGGCGCTGACGTGGTGCATCTGTCTCGTCCAGGGCGCGCGTGGTGCTGATCTCACCGGTGTATAGCCCCACGCGAAATGGACTGCGAGCGCCACCTGCAGCTGGCAATAGCTCGTAGGAGAGCCACGCATTGTACCCGGAGTCTGCATCCACTGCGCGCACCTTACCCACCACGTGGCCGGCGCCCACTGACCTTGATACCAGCTCGTTCACGTTCACGGTGCCACCTACAGGAGTAGGCAGCAGCGTAGGCGTGTTGTCGTTCTCGTCCAGCACGAACACTTGCAGAGTCACATTGCTACCGAGTGGAGGCACACCAGCGTCGCGCGCGCTCACTTGGAACTGCAGCAATTCAAGCTCTTCGTGGTCCAAGGGCTGCAGTGCATACACCTTGCCACTCTCAGCGTGCACCGACACGTAGCTCGACAGCGCACGCTCACCCACCCGCCGCTCTACTAGAGAGTAGGATACCAGCGCATTTTCTTGCGTGTCCGCGTCTTGAGCGGATACCGTGAAGATGTGGGAGCCTGGCAGATTGTTCTCCTTCACGAATATGGTGTATTCAGACTGTGGGAACGCAGGTGCATTGTCGTTCACATCTGCCACTTCCACCGACACAATGGCTGTGGTCCACAGCGAAGGCGAGCCCCCGTCTCGTGCAGTCACAACCAAATTATATGCTGACACTTTTTCTCTGTCCAGATCACTGTCCAACACCAGTGAATAATAGTTTTTGAAGGTGGACACAATCTTGAAGGGAACATCGGGTGTCAGAGAGCAGGTCACCTGGCCGTTGACACCGGAGTCGCGGTCGGATATGCTTATCAACGCAATGACTGTGGTAGGCCGAGTGTCCTCACGTACTGGGAGGGACAGAGAAGTCACAGTAACTTCAGGAGCGTTATCATTAGTGTCTACGATTTCTACCCAGACTGTACAGTGACCTGCCATCGGGGGAATCCCCTTATCTGTGGCTTGCACTTCAATTTCATAAAACTTATTTTCTTCATAATCTAAAGTTCCATTGACCCTCACTTCTCCATTATTTTCATCTAGTGTAAATAAGAATTTTCCATTGGGCTTAATTGACATTAAGAAGTATGCTACTTCCCCGTTTATTCCTTCATCTCGATCGGTGGCGTTTAGCTTTATCACAAGAGTTTCTTTAGCAGTGTTTTCCATCAATCTCACCTTGTATTCTAATTGATCAAACTCCGGATCATTGTCGTTAACATCCAAGATAGAGACCAAGAGCTGAAGGGTGCCTGTGAGTTCTGGTTTCCCTCCATCCGTGGCAGTCAGTAGCAAATTAAGTTTCGGAGTTTTCTCTCTGTCCAGTGACTTCTTTAATATAAGCGACAGTCTTTTAGTCGGCTTATTATTCGTTGGTGATTCTAAAGTAAAATACTCATTTTGACTTAGTCTGTAGGTCAATAGAGCATTCTCGCCTATATCCGCATCAGAAGCTCCCTCTAGCGGAAATCGCGAGTCTGGCTGCTTAGATTCAGAAATCAGCAGGCTTTGTTCTCTAAGAGAGAACGTTGGCGGGTTGTCATTAATATCTTTCACCTCCACCTCCACATGAAAAACCTGCAGCGGTCTGTCCACGATCACCTCCAGGTGGATGCTACACTCTGTGCTCCGCCCGCACAGCTCCTCCCGGTCGATCCGAGAATTCACAAACAAAATGCCATTCTGCAGATTTACCTCCAGAAAGTTCCCGCGGCCCTTGGACTCCACCCGGAACAAACGGGGCACCAGCTCTTCCAGTTCCAACCCTAGGTCCTGAGCAATGCGGCCCACAAAGGTGTCATGCTTAGCCTCTTCCGGGATGGAATAGTGGAGCTGGCCACTCCCTGACTCCCAGGCTGCCAGAAGCAGAAGCGAGATCAGTAGTCGCAGAGTACCCAAACTCCTTCGCTGAAAACCTAACATTGCATAAGAAGTTGGCTTCCAAAATAAGATTTTCTTACACTTACTGTACCAGATACTTCAATTCAGGTTTAAAATCTCGCTGAATTTTTGAGAAGTTTCGTAGGATCCTTTCATAGTAGCATCCAACATGATGGAGTCGTTTCTTAGGTGGAATGCCTGACCAGACCAATCCATGAACGGACTCTTTCTTTCAAGCAAAGAGCGACACCTTGTGCCTGAAATTGTGAGTACTGTGCACTGCATCCATCACCCCAGAATTTTCGTGTTTTACCTTACTTTTTCCTAAACAATTCCAAAGTGATTTTTATGGAATGTTCAAATTTTAATTTGTATTGAAATCAAATATATGTGGAAATGGCACTTTGTTTCTTAACTAACATCAAATTTAAATTCTTTCTATGGTTCATTTAGAATTATAAAATTATTATTTCACTTATCTAAGTACTTAGAGAAAAAGAGAGTTCACTTATTTAAAAAACCTGTTGGAAAAACAGAGTTAATGTTTACCTAAAGTATTGTCCCTCATACAAAAATATTATCAAATCTAAAATACATATTATCAAAATTGAATTATTTTACTTCCAACTTCCCTTGTAACTGGATCTGCTAGAAAACTCAAAAATAATTGTGACACTGGAGCTTGTTTTTTGTTTTTTGTTTTTGCAGAAGTTAGGGCCCTTTTTATGCTAGGCAAGTCCTCTACCACTAAGCTACACGCCTCACCCTCAAAGAAAAACTTTAAATCTTAGTAATAACAACTCTTCAGACTTTATGTTCTGCATACTATGCTTTTATCTATATGAATATGCCTTCTCATGTCTCTTTTAATTTTTAAAATTGACATGTAATACTTGTACAAATTTATGGGGTACAATTGAATGTTTTCATTTGTGTATATATTGTGTAATAATCAAACCAGGGTAATTAGCATATCTACCACCTTAAACGTACATCATTTCATTGTGATGAAACATTCAAAATCATCTCTTCTATATTGAAATATATAAAGCACTATTGTTAATTATATCATACCTTTTTTCCTTCAGTTCTGATTCTTAATTGTTTACATTTAACTGTCTTCTTGTTACAAGTGACTTTATAGCCATTGAAGAACAATAGGAAAATAATCAGAAAAAATAAATAATGTATTTTCAAGTTTGTTAATTTAAAATACAGAATTTACAAAGGAAAAGTCCCTTGGCCTAGATGAATTATGAATTTGACATAGATGATTTCTCACATAAGTTACATTGTTAATACTATGAGACATCCAAATGGAACATTAAGTAATGGAGGAATAATATAATAGAAATAATCCTTTCAACTGTAAAATGATTTTTTCAATGAAATAACTCCATGAAGTTAAAAATCACCACAAAAAAATACCTGTACCATTTTGCTACTTCCAAGTCACCAACATTGGTTTTCTCAATCCAATCAAAATACATTAATTAAAATGGCTTGTTGTTGAAGAATTTGGGAATTTCAACAATATATTCATCCAGAACAAGCAAAGTGATTTCTAATATATCTCCTCTGAGTGTCTAAAGATGTGCTTAGAGTTTAGAAATGGAATTTCATAGAATACTAAGTGAAATGGGATTTTTTTTGTTCTCTTTAGATATACATGACAGTAGAGTATATTTTGATATACATATATGGAGTATAACTTTTTCTAATTAGGATGCCATTCTTGTAGTTGTCCATGATGTGGAGTTTTACTGTTGTGTATTCATATATGAACATAGGAAAGTTATGTCTGATTCATTCATTTGTGTTAAATGTATCTGGAATATACTTTCCTATTCCTATCCACTCTCCCTTCCCTTCATTCCCCTTTGTCTTATCCAATGAACTATTATTCTTCCCTCCACTGCTTGTTGTGTGTTAGTGTTCCTATATCAGAGAGAACATTCAGCCTTTGGTTTTAGGGGATTGGCTTATTTCACTTAACATGATAGTCTCCAGTTCCATCCATTTACTGGCAAATGCCATAATTTCATTTTTCTTTATACTAAGTAATATTCCATTGTGTGTATACACTACAGAAAATCAGAATTGTTGATGTGAGTTTTCATTGCCTGACACTGTGATTTGGTTATGTTTTCTTTGTCTTCTCATAACCACTTAGGAGAAAAAAGATGACACAACGTAAGTTTAGAGTAGAAAGTGACTCAGAATAAAAATTTTAGCTTAAATATTTTGTTACATAAAGTTGCTTTTTTTATATAGATTTTTTAAGAGTCAAGATCTCCCAGGCTGCCTTCAAATTTGGGGGCTCAAGCTATTTTCTTCCTCAGTGTTCATTTTGATGGATCATCTGCAACCCAAAATTATTGCAATGGCATATGAGAAAAATGGTCATCRTACTTCTTTGTTGATATTTTCATTAATTTTGACTTTTAAAAATACATTCTACTACTAATTTGTGATTTTGTTTCACTTTTTTCATATTTACTCTTTCCCCAATATTGTCATAACATTAAACTCTTATTAAAGTAAATTAAAATTCTGTTTAAAAATTTTAAAAGTATACATTTTATGGCACTGAATTCTATTATACACCTGTCATATTCTATTATTCTATTATAACTTTTAATTCAAAGACAACATTTGACCAGATAACAGTGTATTTAAAATGACATTTGAAGCATGTCAATTTTTTATTTTTCAACAAAATAAGTAACAGATTTCCATTTATGGGAAATTATGAGAACTGGAAATTGAGATGTTATGCACAATGAGGTGTCTTCCTAAATACAGATATAAATATGAGAAATTTAACTCATGATAGATGATAATATATATTTGAATTAAAAACAGATGTTAATTTAGGGGTCAATTTTCAATAATATGATATTTTGTGATTATACAAACTGGCCCTGAGCAAATGGCAAGTCATTGAAACATTCAATATGGTGTGTGAGTCAATGATCCATCTTTTTCATTGGCTATAATATTTCAGGTGTCACCATCTAAATCATGCAGAGAGAAAAAATGCTCTATTCAAACTCATTTTGGGGGATGAACCTAATATTTGGCTCGAGGCTAATGCCAATAGGTCATATCATTATCATAATTAACTTTGACTTTGCAAAATCAACTGAGGACTAAGGAATTTTGTTCTAGACCTTTACAAAATTAAAGTTAGTTTTAAATGCTACCTGTGTAACCTGCTAGTCCTAGTTAGAATGCATAGTTTATGTTATATTAGTGCTATATTTCTTGAAAACATAAAACACAGAAGTTAATTTAGTAGCTATTCACAGAACCTCAGGAAGCTCTTTAAAATCAGATTAAAATTCAATATCCAACCACTGTAGGATCTACTGAATGAGGGTGACTCTGCTCTAGCATGACTTATTTAGTAAACACAATTTCAAATCCTTTGTTTAGTTGGCACAAGTCTCTCAGCCTACAATAAGACTGAAGAAGCCTGAACTGAGAAAGACCTACATACATTTAAAGATTTTAATGGAAAACCAATGCCTTTAAAGCTGTTAAGGAAGTATGAAACATTATAAACACTTCTGAATCCTTTGACCATGTTCAGGATCCTTGAAGTTACATTATCATTTATACTTGTCTAAAACACTATCCTTATTCATGACAAAGAAAACAAGGTCACTCTTCTATGTGATATTTGACTTTGGTGTTTTGCAGCAATATTAGAAAATGCAGCCTATGATGTTTCTCATGTATTAAATAACTCTTCTTTATCTCTATCACTTCTAAACAATTGATCCATAGTTCTTATAATACAATTCTTAATTATTTACTGATTAAATAATATAAATGCCTCTGTCAATGTGGCAATTGATTAAAACATGTGATAATCATGAACTCTCCTAAGAAAAACTTTCACCAAAAAAATCCTAATATCCACCTCAATCATAGCATTGCACAAAGTTAATGATAATATAGTCATGAAGGGCCTTTTAAAGCAAAACAGAATGAAGGTTTTCCCTGTATACAGATTGCACTCAACTTTCATAACCAGCACTATTTGATAAAAGAGAAAAGATTTACTGAAGAAAATTTTACATTATGATGAATAAAAGAATGGCTCTGGGTCTGGAGTTGTGGCTCAGTGGTAGAGTACTCTCCTAGCACAAGTGAGACCCTGGGTTCGATCCCCAGCACCACATAAAAATAAAATAAAGGTATTGTGTCCAACTGCCAGAAGCCAGTGCCAATGTCTCGGCTTGGCACAGAATCACGAGCCACCACACAGCTTTGTAGATTCAAACAGCAATTCTTTATTCCCGATCTCACACCAGCCTCCACACACGTTCAGGGGCAGTCTCAATATGTCCGAATCCAAATCCTACTCCTTTTTTCAAATCCCATTTGAATCTCAATGGGAACAAGCAGCAGGAACACCCTAATCCCAGCAGCAATAATCTTCAACCTCAACTTCCCTAAAACTCCTATTGTCACGCCCTAAACCCAAGGACGGAGATACTTCCTGCAGGAATACACCCTAATCCTGGATCCACCCTGGTGATTGAGCAGGGTCACCTTTCTCAAACACACAAGCAAGGTCGCAGCAAATTTCCAAGGCAAGTCCATTTAACATGGGGTACACTGGCAAGGATTACGATGCGTCAATACCTACTTGGTAATGGCCCTCAGCATCCAACTACAACTAAAACTAAAATATTAAAAAAAGAATGGCTCTGGATTATGAAAGATATGCATTTGAACATTATCTCCATTATGTACTAGTTGAAGGGAACTGGAGAAGATAGATAAATATCTCAGCTTCCCTTATCTTTAAAATTTGGATAGCTCTATGTACAGTATTTTACAAATTATCATAAATGAATTAGGATTAAATGAAAAGATGTATTTTAAGCCCTTCACACCATACCCAACAAATAGAAATAGCTTATACAGTGGTGGTTTACTATATAATCATCAACATTTGCTCTTGTTCTCCCCGATCTATAAATGGAGAGATTCACGCATAATATATGAAAGCATGGGTGATGGTAACCCCTTTTCTAAAGAGTTTCCTAATGTTTATCTTCATAGAAATCATCCTCCTAAAGTTCCTCTTTCAAAATAGAAAAGAGCCACTAATACCTTCAAAGTGTGTCTTTGGACTTTACCCTGTCCAAAACTTGACTCTCCTTCCAAATGCAAATATGTATTCACACAGCAGAATCAAAGAGTATCTCATTTGTAATTGAAGTCCAAAAGAACAAATTTGTAATTAACCTTCCATACTATTTAATAGATATCCTTACAGGTTTAATTACAAATTCTCTGGGATTTCTTTAAATAAAGCAACTCACATGGTGATGGTGCTGAAACCACAAATTTTTTTTTTCTTGCAGTGTTGATAATTGAACCCAGGGTTTTGTGCCTGTTAGACAAGTGTTCTACCACTAAAGCTACAACCCCAACCCAAAACAAAATATACTTTGTGTTAAATGTATCTGGAGTATACTGTGTTAAATTCTGAGCAATCAACAATGAGGTACTCAAGTACCTTTACTGATATTTCATTATTCCTATGCTTAAATCATTAATGTCATTTTAAAGACCACACATCTTGCTAAGCTCAGGCAACAATATTGCACTTCACAATTTATACAAAGAATTTTTTAAACTGAAAGCATAAGTGCTAATTTTCCTATCTAAAATATTTCAGTACAGCCTCATGACAAGTGCTAAGAATGGAAGAAAATGAGTATGATCTGCACCCAAATAAATCTTCAAAATAAGTAGAAGAGCTCAATAAATTAAACTGGAAGAAAGCAGCAATGAGTTTAACAGATAATTAAGCAGAATTGACATCATGTTAGTAAGGGGGGGAAATATTGTCTATCTAAAAGAGTAGACTTTGAAAAAAATGAGTTTGATAATACAAGGGTATTAAGACCCTCCCCCAAAATACTAAAAGGACCTCCAAAGGCAAGGGTAAAACTCTACCCATTGCAAAGACCATCTCAAAAAAGCATGCTGTTGATTATAAAGAAAAAAATTGTATATAAAACAAAGCTGCCTCAACCATACMCATCTCCATTAGTGACAGATAATTTAAAGATATAGAAAGTTAAGAAATAAACATGTTTTAAACTCAAATTATAAAATAAAATGGTGGTAGTTTTGAATACATAAACATGATAAGAAGTGGAGGACACCAACTAGAATAGGATGAATGAAATTGCTGGAAAACTGAGAAGTGGATTGGAGCCTTGTCCATATTCTACATTTCCCATCATGATCTTTGCCTTCTTCCTAGCAAACTTAACTTTCCAAAGCAAGAGGAAACGTTGGCTCATCCTATTTCAGTATTGCTATTTTGTTATTATATTTAGCAACTGAAGAATATTCCTAAAAAATATTCTCAATGACTGTAGTAAAAAGTGATGAAGATGGCTAGATTTGCAGTAGGCTTTCAATAAACCATCTAAAGAGAAAGGCAAAAACAAATTTAAGAAAACAATGAATTTACAATAATAAATTGGTGAACTAATATGTCAGTGACATTAACGGGAATGAAATACATCACAGTATTGCTGTACTCACATTTTCAAAGATCTCCTGTTGGACTCCACTATCTCCAGAACCTGAACCAGGAGGAATACTAGGGCTGAAAGCCATGAGGTCAGTCTTGGGTGGGCTCTCACCAGAACACACCTGCCTCCTCTGCTGAGAGTATGACCAGCTCCCCACGGCGCTAGAGCACACCAGCGTGGGCTTCCCAGGCCTGCAGGCGCCCTCAGTGGGCGCCTCTGAGCACCGCAGTGCGGTGTACAGTAGCAGCGTGAGCACCAACAGGCTGGATATCGCACAGATGGCAATGATCAGGTACACATTGATATCCACCAACGCCACCTCTGCGTTCGCAGCTCCAGCTGACGCTCGCAAAGAGGCCTTTGGCGTCTGACCATTCTCCACCAGAGATACCAGAACTGTGGTAGTAGCGGTCAGTGCCGGCTCACCGTGGTCTTTCACCAGAACCAGCAAGATCTGGCTGGGTGAGTCCGCCTCATCCAGCAAGCGCGTGGTGCTGATCTCGCCTGTGTACAGCCCCACACGGAATGGACTTCGAGGACTGCCCTTCGCAGGTAGCAGCTCATAAGACAGCCAAGCATTGTAGCCAGAGTCTGCGTCCACCGCCCGCACCTTCGCCACTACGTGGCCCGCACTAACTGACCGCGATACCAGCTCGCTCACAGAGCCGCCTGCTCCCTGTGTCCAAGGTCTCAGCAGTGCTGGCGCGTTGTCGTTCTCATCCAGCACGAACACTTGTAAAGTCACGTTGCTGCCCAGGGGTGGAACACCAGAGTCCCGCGCGCTCACCTGGAACTGCAGCAGCTCCAACTCCTCATGGTCCAAAGGCTGCAGCGCATACACCTTGCCGCTCTCCGCATGCACTGACACGTAGCTCGACAGCGCACGCTCACCCACACGACGCTCCACCAGAGAGTAGGACACCAGCGCATTCTCCCGTGCATCCGCGTCATGCGCAGACACCGTGAAGATGTGACAGCCTGGCGGGTTGTTCTCCTTCACGAACACCGTGTACTCGGGCTGCGCAAACACTGGTGCATTGTCGTTCACATCTGCCACCTCCACCAACAAGCTGGCTGTGGCCCACAGTGAAGGCGAGCCCCCATCCCTTGCAGTCACCACCAAATCATACTCAGATATGGTCTCGCGATCCAGGGTGCTGTCCAACACCAAAGAATAGTAATTTTTGAAAGTGGACACCAGCTTGAAAGGGATGTGGGGTGTCAGGGAGCAAATCACCTGACCATTGACTCCAGAGTCTTGGTCAGACACGCTAATTAGGGCAATGACAGTGCCCACTTGAGCATTCTCTTCTACTGGGAGAGCCAAAGAAGTGACAACTACCTTAGGAGAATTGTCATTTTCATCGAGGATTTCTACTAATACAGTGCAGTGACCAACCATAGGTGGAGTTCCTTTATCTGAAACATCTACATGAATTTCATAAATGTTTCTATCTTCAAAGTCAATATAATCATTTACTTTTATTTCTCCTGTCATTTCATTAATTAAAAATTTCCTTCTTATGATGGGTGGGACCAAAGGGCTAAAAGAATACACCATTTCCTTGTTTATGCCTTCATCCGCGTCAGAAGCATTTAGCCATATTACTAACGTTTGGTTCGCTTGATTTTCATACATCTTCACTTCATAAACGGATCTGTCAAATGTAGGAGCATTATCATTAACATCCAACACAAAAATGAACACAGAAACAGATCCTGTGAATTCAGGTTTGCCCCCATCCGTTGCCGTCAATAATAACTTAAGCTGTGGGTTTTCTTCACGGTCTAGCAGTTTTCTCAAAACAAGGACTGGGAACTTGCCTTTGTCTTTTTTGCTTATAATATCAAGAATGAAAAACTCATTTGAACTGAGTTTATAAGTAATCATCGCGTTCTCTCCAACATCTGCATCAGAAGCGCCTTCCAGCGGAAATCTAGAGTCAAGCAGTCTAGACTCGGGTATTGAGATCTTTTGTTCTGTCACGGAGAACATCGGAGGGTTGTCATTAATGTCCTTTACCTCCACCTCCACATGGAAAACCTGCAGCGGTCTGTCCACGATCACCTCCAGGTGGATGCTACACTCCGCGCTCCGCCCGCACAGCTCCTCCCGGTCGATCCGAGAATTCACAAACAAAATGCCATTCTGCAGATTTACCTCCAGAAGATCCCCGCGGCCCTCGGATGCTACCCGAAATAGGCGGGGCACCAGGTCTTCCAGTTCCAACCCCAGGTCTTGCGCTATGCGGCCCACGAAGGTGCCGTGTTTGGCTTCCTCCTGGACCGAGTAATGGAGCTGACCGCTGGCAGCCTCCCAGACTGTCAGGAGCAGAAGCGAGAGCAGCAGACACCGGGCTCCCGGAAGGCAGGATCTGGCGATCAACATCCCACCTTTCTCTTGTCTTACAAGTCTATGAATACTCTGAACATTTCCCATCCGATATCTTTCTTCCATTTTTTATAGAAACGGTTGAGATCTAAGAAAATAGCTACTTCCTAGACCTTGAGAGACAGTGGATTATTCCTTTTTTTCTAAAAGGCTACGTATATTGTGGACAACAGCGACATCCGGTGGCCTAATTCGTAAGTACAATTCCATGAGTTTAACTTTTCTTTCATTCATCTCTTATTTCTATGTGTTTATCTGGACTTTCAAACCCTTATAATAGTCTCTTGTATATAATAATATTGACTTTATTCATGGCACAACATTTTATTTGACACAGAACTTCGGATAACTAATTCCTTCCTTAACCACTTGATTATCTTAGCTAAATTTCAAATGCTCTCAAGTTTGCATACTGTGTAGAAGCATTTTATTGGATGACAATCGTAGGTCTCTTCAAGTTTTGATATTTACTTCACTTTGTCATTATTTTAAGATTCAATGAACCTTTTTCGACACTAATCACAAGCATCAATTACCCATGAGATGTTTGCGACTCCTAAATTCCAGTCATCACTAAAATGTAGAGAGATTACTGTCTTCAACATCAGACATTTCTCGATTTAGATTTTTATTATCCCACTTACTAGTAATGTGACTTTACATCTTCAACCATTCAACCTTTACATGTTTCACTTTCCACTTTCATAATATAATAGTAAAAAAATTGGGTTGTGAGTTATGGTATAGTAAGTGCCTGGGATAGTATTTTAAGGAGAATGAGTGCTTCATTAGTAGGAATTACTCTCCAGCCTCAATTTGGCCACATTTGTTTTCGTGATTCTCAAGAACAAATTTGGGTCCTCAGGAAAAATTATTATGTATAGAATAGTGTCACTCTACAATGCTTTCATCATTGCTATTGGACATGCTGAGAGGGTGCTTCTTGTCTCTGAGAAGACAGAAAAGTACCTTTATTAAGAAATCAATTGTATGGGGAGAAGTTTCACTTTATTATATCTTACATGAGCAAAAGAATCTTAAATATGATTATAATTCACAAATGTACCACTTCTACTTTCATAGTCAACAGCTTACATCCCTGTAACATTTAATTTTTTAATTACCAAAAAGACACAGTTCTGTAATCGAATAGTTTTATCAATGTCAGTAAAGTTTGTCACACTGCCTGCAGTAAAAAAATATATATATATTTTTTCCTCTCTCAAAGTTCTTGCAAAAATATTCAGAAAGCAAAATTCTCCACTAAGAGATCTATGTAGCTTTAAAATCCTGAGTTTTCTCTTTTTCCAAAAAATCTTAAATAGAAATTTTATCCTGTCTAAATGATTTTTTAAAATTTAATAATGTTATGGCTTATAAAAGATATATATTAAACATATCAATAATTTTAAATTACTTTAGTCATTTTTAAAATCCGGACAGTAGAACAATATTTATAAATAGAAAAATTGACAGAAATGAGGATCACTTGATCCATCAGCTTATGTGCCTATTTTCTTATAAGGCATACATTTAAATATAATGAATTATCCATCCATTCACAATACTAATGTTCAATCTGAGCTATTATCTGGAATCTGAAAATAAGTTTATAATTTAGTTTAGGCAGTAATTTAGTTTGTCCTATCTAGTAACTATCACTTGAGAAGAACTAGTCTAAGAGGATAATCAAGTTAACACAAGGATTAAATTACCAGTTAATCAATATACTCATGAATAATAATGAGTAAATTTTATAATTCAGTGCTCAAAAAATTTAGTTCTAAGAGGTAAGAAGAAATTTGAGAGGAAGGATGACATTTATAGCACTACTCAATTCATATCACATAATTGCATACAACACATAATACCTAAGCCCAAGATCAATGGCACATGGAACCTGAAAAACATTCAAAGACAAATATATACAAGTGTAAGTCTGAATTCAAGGTAACATGTGTTGATAGACATAGGTTTGATGACAGGAGCTGAGGGACTATTCATTTTGAATGAAGTAAATTTGAAAAACAGACTGTGTTGAAGCATGCCTCAGGCATAAGATTTAAAAGAAACTGAAATATTTTATTTAAAATTTACTTCAATTTTCATAATCATTATTGTGGCCATCTTTGATTCCTAAATAGAGAAATTGTATTCCAGGATTTTAAGAAAATTACTTGTTGCAGTAAAAGATACTTAGCAGTGCTGAACAACCATATCAAGAAAGTCTTCATTCAGAGAAATTAAATGCAAAAACAAACTTAAGAGTTTATAATAAACAATAAAACTAGACCAAACTACAATGCAAATTTTAGAAATAAATGATTTAGAGTAAATTTGGAATAAATGATAGAGTGGTGTTCATGCTTACTGAATGAATAACAATTGCATTGGCTGTAACACTGAATGGTTGTCAAGTGCTATGGCAATTCAGAATAATTACAGATTCCAAAAATTAATTTGTCACATAATAATGCCTGTTTAATATACAGTTTGACGTTTCTCATTAAGAAAGTTGAAACAGGACTGAGGTTGTGGCTCAGCGATAGAGCACTCTCCTAGCACATGTGAGACCCTGGGTTCAATTCTCAGCACCACATTAAATAAATAAATAAATAAATAAATGTAAAAAAAAAATTTAAAGAAAGTCAAAACAAAAGTCTGTTCCAAACTTATGAGATTCAAAGTAAAACTATGAACTTTTACTTTGAAAGTCTGGTAGAGTTATAGAAAAATGAAAAAAAATATTTAAATGTACCACAGGAGCTGAAAAATATCATTCAATAACAAATAACAAAAATAAATTCTAAGATAACCTACCTTCCCAGGGGAGTCCAAAACAACAGGCGGTTCTCCCACTCCTTCTACAGATCCAGGACACGGAGGAAGACCTGGGCTGAAGGCCATGAGGTCGGTCTTGGGTGGGACCTCTCCAGAGCACACCCTCTGTCGTCGCTGATTCGAGTACGACCAGCTGCCCACCGCGCTGGAGCACACCAGCATGGGTTTCCCAGACCCGCACTCGCCCTGGGTGGGCGCCACTGAACACCGAAATGATATGTACAACAGCAGCGTGAGCACCAACAGGCTGGACACCGTGCAGATGGCAATGATCAGGTACACGTTGACATCCACCAGCGTTGCCTCCTGGCTGGCAGTACCCGCCAAGCTTCTAGAAGCAGTCTTTGGGGTCTGGCCGCTTTCCACCAGAGACACCAGCACTGTGGCGGTGGCAGTCAGCGCTGGCTCCCCATGGTCCTTCACCAGGACCAAAAGGCGCTGTCGCGGCGAGTCGGTCTCATCCAGGGCGCGAGTTGTGCTGATCTCGCCGGTGTACAGTCCCACGCGGAAGGGACTGCGAGCGCCGCCCACCGACGTTTGTAGCTCAAAAGACAACCATGCATTGTAACCTGAGTCTGAGTCCACCGCGCGCACCTTCGCCACCACATGGCCTGCACCTACAGACCAAGGCACCAGCTGGGTCACCACTAAGCTCATGTCCCCCGTCCCAGTCCCCAACAGCGCTGGCGCATTGTCATTTTCGTCCAACACGAACACCTGTAATGTCACGTTGCTGCTAAGGGACGGATCTCCAGAATCGCGTGCGCTCACTTGAAACTGCAGTAGCTCCAACTCCTCGTGGTCCAGAGGCTGCAGCGCATACACCTTGCCGCTTTCCGCGTGCACTGACACATAGCTCGACAGCGCACGTTCGCCCACCCGACGCTCCACCAGAGAATAGGACACCAGAGCGTTCTCCTGAGCATCCGCATCATGCGCAGACACTGTAAAGATGTGGCAGCCTGGCGGGTTGTTCTCCTTCACGAACACAGTGTACTCCGGTTGTGCAAAAGACGGTGCGTTATCGTTCACGTCAGCCACCTCCACAGACACACTGGTGGTGGCCCACAGCGAAGGTGAACCTCCGTCCCTGGCGGTCACCACCACTTTATAGTCAGATACAGTCTCGCGATCCAGGGCACTGTCGAGCACCAACGAATAGTAATTCTTGAAAGTGGACACTAGCTTGAAGGGGATATGAGGCATCAGGGAGCAGGTCACTTGTCCATTCACGCCTGCATCTAGGTCAGTCACACTGATCAGGGCAATAACTGTTCCCAGTTGTGCATCCTCTTTAACAGGAAGCCAGATAGTTTTCACAGTTAACTGTGGAACATTGTCATTAGTGTCCACCACTTCCACAAGAACTGTACAGTGACCAGCCAGTGGTGGAAAGCCTTTATCAATTGCCTCTACTTGAATTTTGTAA